GATCCAGAGATCCAGATCCAGAGAACGGCTGGTGAAGGGATTCTGTTTATAAACCTTCATTGTATTTTTCTTATTTTCCCCTTTGGGCTGTCTGGGTGGTTGTTTATTTGCTTGTTGTGTTTGTAATATGTCCGTGTCTAGATTAGACGTTCCGTACCTTTTGCTCATACTCTGATCCTTAAAGGAGAAGTCTCTGAATTGTTTATACTCAGTCTTGCGTAGTGCCATTGCAGAAAAGCACATGCTGGGGATAGCAAAACTGACTGTCTGTGGCTTCTTTGTGCTTGGCCAAATACATGTGAGCAGTTTCAGAAAAGTAAAGACCTTTTTGTGACCAGTCCTCCTCCTATGTATGCTGTAATGTCAGTATAGTGTAGGGAGGGCTCAGACACATTTTCATTGGTGTCGGGGGCTGGACTGAACAACTTTGCTCTCTCTCTCTCTCTCTCTCTCCTTTTTTTTTTTTTATAATAGTCACATTTAGTGATTTCAGTGGTTACTTATTTCAGGTCAAAGTCAGACTTTTTTCTAAAAAATATTTTAGGAACCCAAACGCCGAGGTATATTCCGGACAGTGGACAGCGGAAGCTGCTTGACAACTGATGATATTGTGCAGAGGATTATCAAAAACAGGTCCGTATTGTATTGCATGACACTGTTTATATGATACATGTATTTTTAAGTTAATTATATGATAAAACGTATGTGGACATCCCTGCAAATTGAGTTCAGGGTAGTGTCTGTCAGTGCCCAGCATACAAAGATTTGTAGATCAGTCTTTTCTCCACCAGGGTTCTTTCGGAGATTGCTAGGAGTTCCTTGAGCAATGAACAATTTGTGCCTTTTTTTTTAAATGACCACTCGCATCAATGACCTTTTTGGCCTAGTGTTATGGGGCCCCTTGCTTCAATGAGCTGAAATTGAAAGGGGCCTTCTCCACTGACCACCAATGTAAAGGGGCATTTTTCTCCACACCAATGTAAGGGGACACCTCCAGTGGCCACCGGTGTAATGGAGCACTATGCTGACCTCCAATGTTAGGGTGCACTATACTTACCACTACTGTAAGAGAGCACCACACTGACCACCAATGTCAAGGGCATTACACTGACCACTAATGTAAGGGAGCACCACACTGACCAATATAAGGGGTCTCTGAATTGACACCAATGTAAAAGGCAGTAGAGTGGCCACCAATATAAACAGGCGATAGACTAACCACCAATGTAAGAGGCACTGCACTGACCACCAATGTAAGCGGGCACAACACCGATGACTAATCTAGGGGGCACTACACTGTCCACCAATATAATGGGACACTACGCTGACCACCAATGGAAGCAAGCCTACACTGACCACCAATATAAGGAAGCACTACAATGACCACAAGTGTAGGGGACTTTACGCTGACCACTGATGTAAGGCGGAACTATACTGATCACCAATGTAGGGAGGCACTACACTGATCACCAATGTAAGGGGGAACTATACTGACCCCCAATATAAGGAAGCACTACAATGACCACCAGTATATGAGGCATTATACGGACCACCAATGTAAGGGGAGCACTTTTCCACTGTGAGGTAACTACAGTTTTTACTGTCTGAATCTTTTCTAGCCATCATTAATATTTGTTTTATTTAATTATTATTATTACTGAAAATAACTTGTAAATAAAAAATAATAAAACTTCTTGTAAAGAGCATCCCTGGGTGTCAAGTGCACTAAGAACACCACATTCCTCCACATGCCTTATTCTTTTGTTTATTCTTGTATCTAAACTTTATGTTCACCCTAATGTACCATGAGCTGTAGATATAGTAATTATTACCGGGGTTCCCTGAGACCTGAAAGTTATATCAGGGGTTCCTTCATGCGAGAACAAATTCCCACTTCAAAATCTTGTGGAAAGCCCTCTCAGAAAAGTGAAGGCTGTTATAAGTGCAAAGAGGGGGCCAACTCCACATTAATGCCCATGATGTTGAAATGGGATATCCAAGAAGTTTATTCAGTAGTGATGGTCAGGTGTCCACAAACTTTTGGCCATGTAGTGTAACTTGGTCCCTCTGTTACCCTGTGTTCTCATTCTACACCAAAACAAATATATTGCCACCAGTGGAGTTCTGTTTAAAGGACAAGTTCACTTTTCTGACCATGTTTCATGTTACACATATTTAGGTTCAACATGAAACACAGCTCTGCACACGCAGCCACATCATCCATTCACAGGTCCACTAACAGGATCTGTGAATGGAAAGAGTACAAGTCCCACAGACTCACGTCACCACACTTGTAGTCCGTGTGGAACCTAGGAACATCTTTCCTCCTCTTAAGCAGGCTAGGAGAAATCTCTGCACTCATGCCCAGCTTCATCCAACCTCTTTGGACCTCTGTCCTGGCTGCTCTTCACCTCTGTGCATTTAGAGTCATTTTGATTAATTTCTTACTGTATAAAATGTTGCTGATAAAACTTGTTACATTTTTTTTCCTGTAGGTTGGAGTACGAAGCTCGAAATCAGAAGAAAGAGGCAAAAGAGCTAGCAGTGTTCGAGGCACAGCAGAAACTGGAGCGAATCGTGGAAGGGCAAGAAAACTGAGAGGCCCTTCTTCATCTTCCATATATATACAATACTATTCATCATGAACAATACTACACACTCCTCCGACAGTCCCACATCCAGCATTCGTTCACCATCACCGTACCCGTCAAGTCACACAGGTGGTCTAAGGATTATGAGTACAGGCCTGGTTTTGTCAGGATGGAACACATTCAGCTTAGTGCAGAGATCCAACCTGACACCAAGTCTGGGTTCTCATTTCCTATAATAAACAACCGTTTTAAGAGACGGGGATGAAACCAGTTAAGGTGCCCATACACCAGAAGAGCCGACTGTTGTTTTGACCTTACGCAATAAGATATTTTAAGAGAACCTGTTGCTTTTAAAATACCTTACTCATTCAGGTATCAGTCAAATACCTGGGAGACCGGCAAAGACAGTACACATTAAAAAATGTGACTTGCGTCAAGCTGAATTAGATATTTCAGAAGTGACAGGTTCTCTTTAAAGGTATATTTAGCCAAAACAGTCTGCAAGTCTGAGCAGCTGCTGCATGTGAACTTGGGTCTCTTGTCGGTGTTTCCTTCTGGCTTTCATAATGGGAAAGTTTTGCTGATGTGGTTTATGGATGCACATCAGCAAGTATTTGTGTGAGATTATGGATGTTTTTATTGTTTTTATACAATACAAATTCCTTTATTATACAATATTACTCAAGGGAGTAATGTGCCTCTTTTTCTTCCTTTTATTTTCTACCATCTATGAAAAGAAGAACTGAGCATTTGTTAACTGAATGTAAAGGAGGGCATGGAAATATAACAGAGACGTGCTGAAAAACAGGCAATCTCTGTGCTTTTCCCCCAAAGCATGCCTGTCTCCCCCACCCCAGCGCCCGCCGTGTGAATTTTTTAAAACGCGATTGTGCAATTTTTAAATATTTTATGAGGTAGCCAATTACATTTGCATATCTTTTATAAAGCACACTATTACCCGGTCAGCTGTGCTAGTTTTATATGGCGTCGGGGGCAGTTTTTGCAGCACAACAAACGTCTGAAGGCCTCGCAAACCTCATGAGTTCTGAGATCTTTCCATCTGTGTCATGGTCGTTTTCCCCACAGAAAGTTGCCCTCTTTTTTTAACTCCTTCCCAGCCTGATTACCTCACATTAGTCACAAGCAGACTCTTTTGTCCATATCTGTCTGCGTATGGCCAGTCTCAGGAGTCTGCTATCAGCAGATAAAGTCCAAAGCAACCTAATATCCTGCTTTTATCTGTGTATAGGCACCTTAATGTTTCTTCGGTCAATCCAAAACCACCGTAGTTGGGACCATCCCTATATTTGTTAGTACTAATCTTCTTACACATGCGGCATTATATTTGTACTAGAGGGGACTGGTCTGCATTGGGGGAGGGGGGGTAACAGATAAGGTTACCGGGAATGCTACCGATGTATGGATTTGGAGTGTTCTATGTAATATTTTAATTCAGCCTTGGTGTAATTTGCCATGCTGGTGTACAGCGAAAAGAGCGTTTGTTTTTATTTATTGCAATGAAGGACGGATTTATTAGCCGGGAGGAATAGTTCGTCAGAGTTTTCCCAGCTTAGGCTATGTGCGCGTTTGTTCACGTTTATTGAATTCTTTTGCAACTCTTCAGATGCCCACAGTGTGGGCGCATATTAAAGAGGCCCTGTCAGTCTTCAAATGATCCTAAGTGGCACCCCCCTGCGATGAAAGAGGTAATATATTCACCTTTGCTGCAGCCTGAATCTTTGCGGCTCTGGTACAGCATTGCTGCTTCTCTCAGGCTCTTCTGGCAGAGTCAGAAGCCTGTGTCCCCCGCCCGCCGTTGCATCCACGGACCCCGACATCACTGCTGTTTCCTGTAGGGACGTTGCAGTTGAACAGTAGAATGCCGGCAGGTGGCAGGAAACAGGCACCCAATGCTCTTGAAAGTGCCTGATGCCACGTCTGGAGGTGACTGCAGTGCTGGACGGGAAGAAAGTACAGGTCACTGGAGATGTGATTATAATGTCTCTTCTCTTGCAGGGGAGTGCGCTTTTTTATTTAAATCCTGACAGGGTCCCTTCATGAATCACTGCCTGTTTACAGCTACAGCCACTAGAGGGCAGAAGCAGCAACAGGAACAAATAACACTATATGCCTCACGTATTAAGTGACTGTGTTGCCTGTAACGACCAATAAGATTATCTTTTCTATTTCATTAGTGTAGGTGAGGAAATAAATAGAAGAGTTGGTTGATGAGGGCACGCAGTTTTCCAGATGAGGTCTTTAAGTTCAGGTATATGTTCTGTATCCGTGTTCTGTTCAACTAAGTGTCGTTCATGGCTGACTTTAAATGTTTGTGATGCTTTGATTGCACGCACAATACTCTTATACAGCTCACATACAGTGAAGAATACATATTATGTATTGTGTTGCTTGCGCAGCGTCTTGCTCATAGGCCACTTTGTGCCAGTAGGGGGGCGCCTGCTCCGAGAAGAACGATAGAGGCAAAGACTGCTTTGGGTCTAATGGAAAACTCAATACAGACCCGCCTCTCAGAGTAGGCACACTCCCCTAATAGGGACATGGAGCGCCAGATGTGAGAAGTGCTGCACGTTCCCCGTAGGGACTAAGAGGGGCTCAGCAGCGGTTTGGCCTACTTAAGATGGCCAGTTCATTGCAATGATTTAATTCTGCCCATGTTGCTTGGCACTTATACTGCCTAACGTCCTATAGCCCCGTCATCAGGACCCGTAATAAAGCAAGATGATTAGTTGGCCATGGAAGAAAACATACCGTCGACGTTGCCCCTAGCAACCAAATAGCACCCAGTTGCTAAGGACACCACCTTTTTTTCCCCAGCTCAATGTTAATAATCGGGACACCAGTCTCTGTCTTATCTCTAAATGTTTTAAATTAAAGAGTTTTAATTGTTTTACCTGTCCTCCTGTTTTATTCCAGATGAGTGATGGTGAATGACGATGTTTTGCCAAATTGGCGCATTTAACGTTAAACACAGCGGTCAGGATCTTTATTTCCTCTGGCTGTAGTTTTTAAATCTGTTTGGACTCCACTAAAAATGGCTGTGACTTTTTCTGGGGGGGAAATAAGGATCCTGATCCTGGTGGGGTGGATTTGTGAATTGAGCCAGAAGGCTATATGTTGGCTAGAGAGTGTTTCGTCTGATACGGAATTCTGAGATACCATTGTTTTTAGGAACGGCTGTGTTAAAGGGTAGGTCCATGCAAAAATGTATAGTTCAGATTTGAGTAGACTCTGATTGGATGGATCGTGTGGTGATGTCTGTTATCTTTTTGGGACTCAACAGTGAATTTACATCTGTGAAATGATTAAAAACAAAATCTAGCACAAAACATGGCAACAGATGTAGGAGGTGGGTGGAGCTGGGACCTCCTTTCCACACAAAGCATGGCAATAGATGCCGCAAGTGGGCGGAGCAGGGGTGTCAGTCTCACACAAAACATAGGAACACATGCAGCAGGTGGGTGGAGCTGGGCAGTCACACAAAGCATGGCAACACATGCAGAAGGTGGGAGGAGCTGGGATATCCATCTCACACAAAACATGGCAACACATGCAGCAGGTGGGCAGAGCTGGGATATCCATCTCACACAAAGCATGGCAACACATGCAGCAGGTGGGCGGAGCTGGGACAAAACATAGTAACACATGCAGCAGGTGGGAGGAGCTGGTGTGTCCATCTCACACAAAGCATGGTAACAGGTGGGCAGAGCTGGGACCTCCTTTTCACACAAAGCATGGCAACACATGCATCAAGTGGGTGGAGCTGGGAAGTCCATCTCACACAAAGCATGGCAACAGATGCAGCAAGTGGGTGGAGCTGGGAAGTCCATCTCACACAAAGCATGGCAACAGATGCAGCAAGTGGGCGGAGCTGGGAAGTCCATCTCACACAAAGCATGGCAACACATGCATTAGGTGGGCGGAGCTGGGACCTCCTCATATTTTATACTTGGAGCTACTTAGGCATTGAACATGCCAGCTTTGACACCAAAACTGAAATGACAGTTTGGGCGGACCAGCCTTGCATTATGGTGTAAGTGGGCCCTTTTTTTTATTGGGAAGGGGGGAATCCTGTTCCTTCTTGGCACAGAAAGTTACTGCACAGCTCTAGCTTCTGCATTTACTGCACTCCTATGATTGATGATGACACTAATTGGTTTTGTAAAGTGATTTCCGCAGCTGCTGATTTTAAAACGATATCCATCATTATGATGAGGCCTCGGTGTCCTCGTCTGTACCATCTTAGTGCTATAGATAAAATGTAACGATTGATCTTGTGAGGGAAGGTGAACAAAACGCAGCCTGCAGGTGTAATCAGCATCCTCTGTGGCGGAAAACGCCAACCAGCGGGTACGCCCCGTTCTTTAATCAACATACGAGGGCGGCAAAGGGGGCCCGGAAGGACAGACCTTCTGTAATGAGCGGGCCAGCATAGTGACCTAGAACAGAAATGTGGGTGAGGGGGGAGGTTTACTGGCATTTATCAAATATCAAACCCTACAGTGGACGCAAGGAGAAAACTTTCTGAATTAACTTCCTCCTCCACAAATCATTTCCCAAACATTCTCTCTCCCACCTCACTCTTTTCTTCTTTATCTCCGGGCCCTATCTATAACAAGTTGTGTTCTGAATGGAATCTGTTCACCATTTCCTTCTATGCTTCTTTTGGGAGCTGTACAGAGGGATGTGTAAAGGATCAAACCTCTGATGTACAGGAACAGTGAACCGGCCTATGAAGATTGTGCTGTATTTTCAGGTAAAGGTATTGTGTGTTTTTGGGAAGAAAACATGAACACAGATGTCGTAACTGTAACAATCCTAATAACAGAGTAATTCTGTACAACCTGTAATAGCCCCATACTAACCATACAAGCTTCATTCTATGTGTGCATCTCTAAAAATCTGTCATATTTTGGTGAACAAATCCCCCTTCCCGCTTTCTCTCTTCCTTTCACACCCTTTTCTTTCTTTTTTCACTGTCTCCTCTCTCATGCTTTCTTTTCTCTTTTGCCCTCTGTTGCTCTCCACCCTCTTTTTCTCTGTTCTCTTTTTCGCTGTTATCCTCTCTGCTCTCCTCTCTCACGTTCCTCTTACTCGCTGCTCTTGTCATGTTCCTCTTCTCTCTGCTCTCCTTCCTCTCTGCTCTCCTCTCTCACGTTCCTCTTTCTCACTGCTCTTGTCATGTTCCTCTTACTCACTGCTCTCCTCTTCTTTCTGCTCTCCTTCCTCTCTGCTCTCCTCTCTCGTTCTCTTATTTCTTTCTGCTCCCCTCTCTCACCCTGCTCTACTCCCTTCCACTTTCTCTCCTCTCTCTCTAGCATCACTCTCTCTTTTATTTTCTTCTCTCTGCTCACCTCTCTTTCGCTTTGCTCTCCCAGATCTCTCCTCTCTCTCTCTCTTCTGCACTCTCCTGTCTCTCTTCACTTGCTCTCCTCGTTTTCTCTTCATTCACTTGCTCTCTTTTCGTTCTCCTCTCTCTTCGTTCTCTTCTCTTTCTTTTCATTTGCTCTGCTCTCTCTCTCTTAATTTGCTCTCCTCTATCTTCATTCACTTTACTCTCCTTTTCATTCACTGCCCCTCCCTCTCTTTCACTCGCTCTTCATATGATTCTCTCTCTCTCTCTCCCCCTCTCTCTCTCTCTCTCTCCCCCCCTCTCTCTCCCCCCTCTCTCTCCCTCCCTCCCTCCTATATCTCCATGTTATCTCTTCTCTCTCCCTATCTCTCTGCATTTTATCTCCTCTCTCTCTTCTCCTATATCTCCATGTTATCTCTTCTCTCTGCCCATCTCTCTGCATTTTATCTCCTCTCTCTCTTCTCCTATATCTCCATGTTATCTCTTCTCTCTCCCCATCTCTCTGCATTTTATCTCCTCTCTCTCCATATTATCTCCTCTCTCTCCATTGTATCTCTTCTCTCTCCCTTCATTTTATCTTTGCCGTCTCTCCATTCTTCTCTCTCTCTCTTTCCATCCACTCTCCTCTCTCTTTCTACATTCACCTCCCTCTCTTCTTTTGTCGCTCTCCTCTCCTTTTCTTCTCTCATTCTCCTCTCTCTTTTCTTCAATGTCTCCACAATTATTTCCTTTTATAAATTCTACATAAAGCAGTGAAAATAATTTCCTTGTTAGTTGACTTTTTTAATGTTTGACATTATTCAGGCAATGTTGTCACCATCATGAAACCCGCCCTGGGAAATACCATGCAGTCATCACTGAATGGCAGGTACCTGGCACTCCAGCGGCTGTAAAAGGGTGAAGGAATAATTTTATTGGAAAAAGAGGCCTTTTATATAATGCCTTCAATAAGCAAGCTAGTTGTTATAACACTGCGGTATCAGGGCTAGTTTAGTGTGCTGTTATTCACTTGTATTCTTTACCTGTTAGAGAACAAATATCAGACCATAAGGCTGACCTGTCTCCTGCCTCAGATCAGGACAGATAATTGACAACTCTGTCTGAGCTGCTGAGGAATGGTAAAAACTTCTGATTACCAAACCTAAGATAGAACCACATTACAGCTTAACACCTCTCTGCCCTAACCGGAAGAGATACAAGTAAATAATTTAAACAAAAGAATAGAAAGGTAATTCAAAAGTCCATATTCTTGTTTCTACAAATGCCCACCGGTGACTGATTTTCCTTAAAGTGAATTTGCTGGGTTTCCTCGGTGGAAATATAGTAGTATTGTAAAGAATATACTCCTTGATTAAGAGTATTAGAATTCCCTTTATTAAGCGACCTTTATCAATGCACTTGACCTGCAGGCATTGAGACGCTGAAATAGTCTACCGTTCTAATTTCGTTATAATCTACAGTAGGGAATGCATTATGTGATCAAGCATGAGCATATTCTATCGATATATCCAATAGGTTAGCCCGATCTGTCTGCCGGTAAATTAGCCCAGTTGTCAACTCTCTGTAATTATAAAGTGACACCAACAGATATAGATATGAAGGGCAATGACCTCTAATGAGCATGACAAATAGTTATTATGCCTCAAGCAGCGGCAAGGGGGAAGTCTAAGATTAGCAATGTAACAACCTGCCACCAAAAGGGTCAATTAAAGCCATTTAAAAAAAGGACACATTTCCCAGGAGAATGTGATGGTGAATGTTGCTCATCAATTAGTACTAGCTTCCCATCAAGGGTGTAAGACACAAATAAGATTAACAGCACGGTGCATAGATAAATGCAAAGTAATGCACTTTGGAATTAAAAATAAACAAATGGGTTATACAATTATGGGTATGCCGCTAGGGAAGTCAGAAATGGAGAAGGATTTGGGGGTCATTGTAGACCACAAACTGAAAGGTAGCTTTCAGTGCCAGGCTGATGTAAACAAAGCTAGCAGGGTCTTGTCCTGTATTAAAAAGGGGATGTATTGCAGGGACAAGTCTATAATTTTGCCACTTTATAGATCATTGGTTCGACCTCATCTGGAGTACGCGGTCCAGTTCTGGTCACCAGTACTAAGAAAAGATGTTCTTGAGTTGGAAAAAGTCCAGCGGAGGGCAACCAAACTAATTAGGGGGATGGAGGACCAGAGCTATGAGACAAGGCTACTAAATGTAAACATGTTCACATTGGAGGTGAGGAGATTGAGGGGGGATATGATCTCCATGTACAAAATGTTCAATGGTGGTAGCAACATTAGCGATAAACTGTTTAAAATTAACTCCATTACAAAAACTAGAGGCCACCACCTAAAATTGGTGGAAAAAAAATTCCAGCACAAGGGGCGAAGAGGGTTCTTCACAGTAAGATCAGTTAGGGTCTGGAACTCACTGCCACAGACAGTGATTTCAGCAAAGAATGTGGAATTGTTCAAGAAACTTTTGGACGATTTCTTAAGGGACCGTAATATACAGGGGTACAGGTACTCCTAGAATGAGATCCTATAGGTTGGACTTGATGGACTAATGTCTTTATTCAACCTCAAATACTATGTAACTATGTAACTTGGGGAGCTATTTAAAAAAAAATGCATAGCTTATGCAACCAGCAAAACGGCAAGTAATTTAATTCTGTGTGCGCTAACCAGCTGTTGTGAGAATGGGGCAAAAATAAGTTCTCTTCTGGTTGAATGTTCAATAGGTTCATTCATAAATAAGAGGGAATAGGGAAAATTCCGCATTGTGGTCACTAGATGGAGCTGAGGATCATTGGAAATAATGACATGTTAGGAAGGAGATACAATGTTACACTTCAAGAATACTGAGACGCCGCAGCCGGAACGGATCCCGACATTACTGTCTGGATCCACCCAGCTGCGGGATTGACAGCTGACTCTGTCTATCCAGAAGCAGAGCCAGCTGTGCCTGCACCCTCCCCCGTCCGTTCTGCCAGTCAGCGCTGGAGGATCGGACAGGGGAGGGGGGGGAATCCCTGCAGGGAGCCGTGAGTGACAGTCACCGCTCTCTGCAGGGAGATGATCGAGAAGTGAGCGAGCGATGGTATGTGTTCGCTCACTTCCCGATTACTGAGCCGACCTAATTGTCACAGGTCTGCTCAGATTATGAGGCTGAGTGAAAATCACTTGCCTTATAATTCTCCTTTAAATTGTAACCTTGTATCTCCTTACTAACATGTATGTATTTCCGATGATCCTCTAGTGGCCGTAATCCGGTATTTTCCCAATTCACTCTGTCCTGTATGAATGAACCTATTGAAGAACATTCAAGAAGAAGTGAAACTACTCTACTAGCATTCATGTTACCTCATTCTTATATAAGCTGGATAACTGGCACAGAACGAATGTACATGCAGTGGTTTTGCTGCTCGAATGAGATACACTATTATGCCAACAGTATTGGGCCCCTCCCCCTCCAAATCATTGGATTCAGGAGTTCCGTGACATTTCCTTGCTACTAAATATTCCGCGGTCAACTGTTAGCGGTATTATAACAAAGTGGAAGCAACTGGGAACAACAGCAACTCAGCCACGAAGTATGAAGTGGAACGCTGATTGTAAGTCAGGCCTTCTCATCCAACATCAGCACCTGACCTCACAAATGGGCACAAATTCCCACAGACACACTCCAAAATCTTGGGGAACGCCTTTCCTAGAAGAGTGGAGGCTGTTATTGTTGCAAGGGTGGCGCCAACACCATTTATATGCCCATGGTTTTGGAATGGAATGCCCCAACCAGCCCATGGAGGGGTGATGGTCCACAAACATTTGGCCATATAGTGTATCTGCTTCAGGTGGAATGACCACCCTGGTGTAACTAGCCATCGTGCCTGTGGCTGTCAGAGTCTTGCAATGAATCATGGGACTTGTAGTTCCACAACAGCTGGAGTGCTGAGGTTGCCTACCCCTGCTAGATCTTTGACACATCTCCGGCTGTTTGTTCCCATCTAAGAACTATTCGCAGGCTGAAAAAGCTCTTTACAAATCCCCCGTCAAAGCCCCGCTTTTTTTTTTTTTTTCTGGCTTTCATGACTAATTAAGGAATGATTATCTCTCGGGAAGGAAGCAGAAAATGCCTTCGGAGGTCTGAAGATCTCATTCCTACCCCCTCCGCCCCCTTCCTAGTCAAGGTGACAGCAATCTGGATGTATTAATATGCTGTTTTTCTCCATTATTCCAATCAGAAGTGTAAAATTGCCTCCGAATTGATCCGATGATTAAAGTGACACGTTGGATGTACCGTGACCCTCGTGATCCGGCTTGCTAATCACTGTTGCCGGGAACTAACTGATAATGTCACCGAGTGTCCCCAAGGTGCAGGGTATGCTGCTGCGCTAGCCAGAAATAATGATTGTCTGACAACCGCTGGACGCAGAGATATCATTAAAGGGAAGTTTTCCTGAAATAACTGCCGAGACGGATTTATGATGACCTGTAAAGTCCTTTATTTTGATGGTTAGTCCTTGGTTCTGGGGGTTCTATATAGCTGCTTTTAGGGCCTGCTCACACTGCTCTGGACACATTGCAGAGTGCACTCACGTGCGTTTACACAGTGCATCTTCAAAGGGACCCCCAATGAGCATGCATGCACCACACGCGCCTAACTCTCACTGTGGTGCAATACATGCCATCGAAGAGACCTGAGGGCACGTACAACACAACAAGGGCCCTTGCGTTGAGATAGTCCAACTGCGCAATGTGTGGTGCCATTCATTTTAAATTTCACTTAGCCAGAGCAACACCACAACCCACATGTGCATATTAGTGCTGATGTGTGCATTAATGTGGTGCGCTGCACTGAAAAAAAGAATGGTGCCGGGTGGCATTGGCAGCCCATTCACAATGCCAACGGGCTGTCCTGTGCAAAGCGCATCAATGCAAGAAAAAAATAAACCACCTACGTGGATCAGGTTTTATGGGGGCCCCCCCTGACCTTGTGAGCCCCGGTACAACTACACCCCTTGTAGGTCCCCATCCCCTGCCATGCAGCTGCGATCTGTCTCTTCCGGAGGTCCCCGGCGTACACTTCTTGGCAGGTGTCTTTTTATGAAAGAATATTTCATATGAAAAGGCGTCGAGGAAGAATCTTTTATTTATTCATTATGTGAGTTAAAGCAGCTCAGAGACAAACAAATGATATCGCCTCCGACAGAAATCAAATCACATCCAACAATGGGAAATAAGTGGCAGGATTGTGGAGTGGGGGGCAGCATTAAGTACAGGGAAGGATTTTGCGCTGCTGTCACTTTCACTTCTCGGGTCTGAGATGTATCAATATGTGTTATGACTTCCCGTCCGGGATGATCTGCACTCGGCTTATTTCTGCGCTCGGGGAAGTAATTGCATTTTTTTTTCTTGTTATTGCCAGTTCTCCATATGGAAGTCCTCCATCCTCCTATGCATCAGAACCCTTTAAGAGAACCGGTCACGATCGGGCTCATGAGCTTAGAGGAAGGCAACCTTGGCACTCAAGACACATCATGCATCTGGGTGTCACGCCTGCACCTGTCAGAGTCTTGCAATGCGTCATGGGACTTGTGGTTCCACAACAGTTGGAGTGCCAAGGTTTCTTCCCCCTGTTCTATGCAGCTATCACCTCTGGTGGGAAGTGACCCCAGTGCTGCAAGACCACCATGCTGCCCTACGGTCAGTGTCCCTTCCAGTAGGCCACCCCATGGCCTACCCCTGAAATGCTGTCTTTAAATCTTCCCTTCAGTCTTGCACGGCTGTACCGGCTCCTCTGATATCACTGCACACTGCGAGCTTCTTACAATGTGCATTAGAAGCTGCAGCAAGTCAGAGAGAGCCCGCCTCACTTCCTGGCTGGAGGATGTTCAGCATCATCTAGCACTTTCCTCCCCGGCCTGACTGTACCTGGCCGGCCTTTTCCATTCATTGGATTTGAAACCCCTCCGTGTATATATGGACTTCCTAAGATATGTAAGGATGAGACCCCTCTCAGGACCAGTGGCGTAACAACCGGGGGGCAGGGGGGGCACTTGCCCCGGGCGCAGGACTGAGGGGGGGCGCCGTCA